GGAATGCTGCACAGGGAAGAGAGCTCAGCTAACAGAGCAGCTTTTTTTCATAAGGAACATTTGGCTATAAATCTGTCCATTTGATGATGCAATAACACAGTATTAACACATACTTCTTGGGGTCGATAGTTGCAGTGTTTATCCACTACAGCCTGCCACGTCCTGTTAGAATCATGTCTAGGAACAACAGGAAAATAACCTTTTCTCTTTGCTTCTCCTCCTCCTCCTCCTCTCCAAAACAGCCAAGGATTTCATCAAACATTTACTGGAGAAAAACCCAAACACAAGATTTACCTGTGAAGAAGCCCTGAGACACCCATGGTGAGAGGAACGCGGCTCTTGGGAGTCGGTGTTGCCAGCTAGTGGCCGCTGCACTTAGATCCTTGGGCTTAGCTGCAGCTGAGAATGGAGGGTCCTCCAATCCCCACTGCTAACGTCACGAGCTGCCTTGGAGCAGTCCTGTGTGTTTCTCTCCTGTGTATGGAAAAAAGAAAAGATAAAGAATTAGAAATGCAATTTGTATAATACTTGCCTTCCTAAACAGAGGCAAAGAAGAAATCCCATTCTGAGCTTTTCCAAGCTTTGAAGTGTGTGTTTGTATTACATTTTGTTGCTGTTTTTCCTTTGGGTTTAATTATTGCTGATTGAATATACAAAACAGTTAGTTACTCGCCTCTCGAATGTCGAATGCCTTACAAATGCCATCTGCCTATGAGCCCATTTTCTCCTCTTCCCATCTGCAGGATTAATGGAAATACAGCCCTTCACCGTGACATATACCCATCTGTCAGTGCTCAGATTCAGAAAAACTTCGCAAAGAGCAAATGGAGGGTAAGTTGTTTGCTCTTGGGCGCCTAGAGCCATCTCAGAAACAAATGCCACTTGCTGCCATGCGGCGGGTAAGTGCCCGACAGCCGCGCTCCTGCCAGGCCAGCGCTCCCTGCGGAGGGCGTCCGGGCAGAGCCACCCCACAGCACTGTGACACCCCTGCCAACAGGCAAAGGGTAGCGGGAGAGGATTATTACCTTTATAGAGAACGGGTGAAATCGGTGCTCCATCAACAGGCCTCTTGGCAGCTGGACTCAGCTTTTCCTTCTGTCAGCCTTGGACATACGTGGGAATTTCCTCTGTATCAAGCATTCTTGTAGGAATTTACGTGGAGAGAGGAAGGACATAGAACCATGTGTTTCTTGGCATTTTAGATGCTTTAATTCAAAATTCGCATCTGATCTCTGTTTCACAGCATGGGGTAGTTCCTAGCTGTTCCCTGTGAGTTCCTTACGTAGCAGCAGTTGTGATCTTACAAGCACCAGCAGGTCGTAGTCAGTGGAAACCGCGGTGTTCGCGTAAGGAAGGAGCACATCCCACTGTGTGTGTTGTGCAGACAGACAGGGGTAACCAGCACAGCTCCAGGGCTCTCCTGAGGGTTCCTGCCGAAGGGAGGAGGGCAGCGCCTGCATCTCCGCACGCTCACCCGGCTTTGTCTTCCTTCCCAGCAAGCCTTCAACGCTGCCGCCGTCGTGCACCACATGAGGAAGCTCCACATGAACGGCCACGCGGCGGCTGAAAACCCCCTGCCCACTGCACAAGTCTCCGACACATCCAGACCTACCAGCCCCGGCATCGCGGGCTCAGGGACGCCAGACCAAGGCAAGAGCGTATCGGTGCCGCCGGTACCCACGCCGGGCTGTCCAAA